ATTAACGCGTTCACCACCACACCATGAAATAGCTGAGAGACGTGCGAAACAAAGGACCCGCATGGTGTGGTGGTGAACGCGTTACTCCCCGGAAAGGATAATAGCGCGTTCGTTCCCCACCATAGACACCTGCGGTCCAGAGTTTTGCAAATATCTCAGCAACGTTGTGGTTGTTCTACTCATAGTTCCATATTTTACAAAACTTGGAACTCCTGGATGTGGTGAAAGGAAACTTGCCCACCATCCAACTATGGTTTTTGCAACATATGTTAAGTGCTCATTACATGTTAAAACTATGATTCATCACAACTGTTAGGAAATCAAGAACAGTCAAGGTTGTGAAAAAAGAATTTTAAACGCTTGAATCATGTCGGCGATGTAATAATTGGAAATTGTTTTGGTTCGAATGTTCATCGAATGCAAACAAGAAGGAAGTGCTGAGGACAATGACGAAGCTGTTCCGCTTCTCGTCGCAGTATGACGGAAGTGAATCATAGAATGAAGATGAAGGTGATGATGTGAACAGTAAGTGACCAGGCAGTGGAGATCTCATCACCTGTCACCTGTCACCTGTAGTCCCGTTGATTGTCGAGTGACTCGAGCGGGTGCCAGTAAATCTTTCCCTGTCGCGTGCAAGAGTAGCCTAGTGGGTTCTGCTCGCTCTAGGGACTCGTCGTTCATCATACCTTTCTTCAAGGCTTCTTGTGAAGAACTCTGACCATCGGGTCGGTGGTCTTCCTGCAGTACGTTTGACATCCCGAGGAATCCATTCACTAACGGCTGTTGTCCATCGGTTGTCATTCATACGCATTACGTGTCCGGCTCACCTTATCTTCGACTATTTGGCGTACCGAACGGCATCTTTGATTTTTGATCGTTGACGCAAATCTGAGCTTCGGGTCTCCTTACCTGTTGGAGCGGGATACTCCTAGCATCGTCCTTTCGACTGCGCGTTCGATAACGATGAGTAACCTTAATAAGAGTTTCCTTACTTCAGAGTTCTTTTTTAAATCGTTTAGCTTTAACCGTTAACATTTTAAACTCACATTTGGACAGAAATTATATAGGCT